GTTCATCCTCGCAAGTCGCATCCGTCCAAGCAAAAGCGCTCTCTCTCTCCGACCAAATCTTCTCCTCCCCGCTTTCCCCGTTTGTCCAAACCTTCTAATTTCTAGGGTTTCCGTTTGCCATTAAACCCTTACCTTCTAAAGCCCTCCATCTAATCCACAAAACCCTAATATAAATTCATCACTTTCATACAACAATTTCGCCTCATTTTTCTCACATTTTCCCTAAATCCGGCTTCCGTGTCTCCGCCGCCATCCGCCTGTCTGAAATCGCAGAAGTTGAGCTGCTCAACATTCATGGCCAAGACCAAACCTGGAAAAAAGGACCTTGACTCTTACACCATCAAGGGGACCAACAAAATCGTTCGACGTAACTATCCTCTCTCCTTCTCTCTCTCTGACAGAAACCCAAAATTTATTTTTCAAGTTTAGCTTCTAAAAACTCGAAATCGTCTCACTTTTTATTAAATCTAGATTTCAGAGAGTGAAAATTTCGATCTTGACATATATATATATATGAAGTTATCTGTAAAACCCAGATTCAAAATTTGAATTTCGAGCTCTGGAAATCCAAAACTTGGCATAGTATTTCAAATTATTGGTGCTAAAGACTCGGTTTTTTGTCAACTGTTATGAAATTAAGTTAATGTTTCTCTGCTTTGTGTGGCATTGATATTTCAATTGATTTTGTAATGGTCAGCTGGTGACTGTGTGCTAATGCGGCCGTCAGACACTGATAAGCCTCCATATGTGGCACGCGTGGAGAAGCTCGAAGCTGACCACCGAAACAATGTGAAGGTTCGGGTTCGATGGTATTATCGGCCTGAGGAATCAATTGGAGGAAGAAGACAGTTCCATGGGGCCAAGGAGCTATTTTTATCAGACCACTATGATGTCCAGAGTGCACACACTATTGAAGGGAAGTGTACAGTGCACTCCTTCAAGAACTACACTAAGCTTGAGAATGTGGGAGCTGAGGATTACTTTTGTAGATTTGAGTACAAGGCTTCCACAGGAGGATTCACTCCAGACCGCGTGGCTGTGTAAGCAATGTGTTCTTTTTGTTCTATACTATATCTATTACACACACAACGCTGACCGATAAATATATGATTGGTATTGATTTTTGAAATTATTCGGTTTTGGTTATTGTGTTGGAAGGTATTGTAAATGTGAGATGCCATACAATCCGGATGACCTTATGGTGCAATGTGAGGGATGCAAGGACTGGTAACTCTCTTGTTTTGTGCTTGGTATTGTTCATCCATTTCAAAGTTTGTATGCATTTTGTTTCAATAATCATTGAGTGTATGCAATTTGCTTTTAGAAGCTTTCTTGATGAGTAGTTGTGTAGAATAGAAAATGGAAATTGTGACTGCTAGTGCCATATGACTCCATTTGTAAAAGGTGAAGGTGTTGATTGTTAAATTCAATTACTACTTAGGTATTGCAGATGATGAGATGAGATGTTTGTCAAAATTTCAGATTGCTCGATGGCAAACACATTGAGCTTCATTTATTGTATAGGAGTTAGTGAAGCATGTGGAATGTTCCATGAAGAGTTTTAATTCATAGCAAATATCAGGTATTATTGACCATATTTGGGTTTCAAAACATATGCAATGTGGCTCAATCTCAGTAGCCCTTAATACATGGAATGTATTTGTCTTTTTAAAACCATGTGTAATGTGAGTTGGGGCGGGGGACTCTTTTGATCTCCTTTTTTACCTTCATTTCCAGTAATCTCGAACCTTCTAATTTGCTGAATTTAAGGCAATAAATGTCTGCTTATGCTTAACAGTATGTGTCTATTGTACAAGGTCTTCTTTTGGTTTATTAAGTTTGATAGTTGTTTGGTGGATGCTTAAGAACTTGATCTTAGGAAGGGTATTAAATTTCAATCGCAACGGTTATTTATTAATGGTTTTAGAATACGGAACTCTTAATGGAAATAATGATGACAATATCTATATCAGTAGGAGTTGGATTGAAAATTTAAGCTGGCTCTTATGATTTTCTTTTTCTGTTTTAACCTTTACTTATGATACTTTTGCATGAGCCTGTCATATTACTCGAGCAATATAAGATCAGATGAAGTACACTGTCAACAGAAAATTGGTTGGTTACTGTTAAGAAACACTTCAAAGATAGTGGAATATTTTACTTTTGACAGGTGCATTTTAGGTCTACAATCTATCCGATGGAATTTTTTACCATCACAATGCCTTTGCCTCGGCAACATAATTAAATGCTGGTGTTCTCAATTGAATTAAGGTGGCATTGTAAATGGTAATAACAGACATGCTTCATGTTTTGCATTCATCTTTTGCAGGTTTCATCCCTCTTGTATGGGTATGACAATTGAAGATGCAAAAAAGTTGGAGCACTTTTTGTGTTCTGACTGTTCATCTGATGATGATGCCAAAAGATCCTTGAACACATTCCCGGTATCACCATCTGTTGAGGCTAAGGTAAAAATTCTGTGTGTTTTGTTCATCGAATTCCAAAAGGTTCTTGAATGCATCCCAGTTAATGCAGTTGTCCAGATTAAGAGAATTTGTGTAACTTTGTTTCTTTTGTCACTATTTACTCAAAAAATATAGAGAATCTTTATGACTTAATTTCCTTGTCAGCAATTTTTCCTTAGTTAATGCAGTTTGAAAATTGGAATGCTGGAGACGTTGTCTTTGCCTAAAACAATTGGTTTTCCTTACCCAAAATCGTTAGATGATTCAGTGACAACCTATGGAATAAATAGTGGATAAAGAAAACATAAAGTTTAGAGAGAGAGAGAGAGAGAGAGAGAGAGGTCTTATGGATAGTGATTATGATACTCTGTTAACTATTGGAATTAATTTTAGGTAATGCTGTTAAAATGGCAGATTTAATTCTCTGAAGCCTAAACCAGAGCATTAAGTAAATTTTTTTGACTGTTTCTGATGTAATTTTGTTGAGCTCATATCAACATCATCCTATTGCTTTCCTTGCGTCAGTGAAGGATCATATCTTATTAACAATGATGGTGTTTTTCTGTTTTGAATTTTGTTCTAGGTGGAGCCAAAGCGCCGGAAGAGGTGACCTTTTGATTCGGATGCTTAGTGAGGAGGTATCCGACTTCTTTGGCATTAGCTCTGATGTTGTGTGTTGTGGAAATGTACAGTGCAGAGAAGATACTGCGCTTGCACAATCCAAAGGCCTTTTTTTATAGCTTTTGAATGTTTGTATGCGTGCTAGACATAGGCGATGACTTTGTGTTCTATGTTGTCCTTGCCAGACATCAAAATCATATTTGAGCACAGAACAAATGAGAACACATCAAACCAAACATTTAGGAGGAACCTTGGATTTGTGGCGATGTGTTTATTGCTGGCATTGCTCAGTATTGCATGCAATGGCAACTGTTTTAGTTTTTGTTTTTTTAATCACCCCCCCTCCTCTCCCCTTTTTCTTTTGCTTCACCGTCTGTCTTTGGGTATGAGAAAAAGTGAGCTGCATATGTTGATCAAAGGCATGGCGGGTGCAGTTTCAGGAGTAACTGGAACAACCCCATTTGGCTCACTTAACTGGTGGGTTTGCGCTCGCCCTTTGTCCTTGTAAACACATCAGTTGCCACTGGGTTGATCTTACTGGCTGGTGGAGCTGAGCTCTATTCTATCAGCCTGCTTTCTCCCTGCTCATGCCATTTTCCCCCTCAAGATCGACTGTCTACGCAGGCGTGTGAATGTGCTACTTAACCACTGGTTTGAGGATCATCATGTATTGCCATTATCATAACCGCATGCTTTTGTCAACCTGCATAATTAACTGTTGCTGTATGTTATTTGTGCATGTCTCAGATTTTGAAGAATCAAATTCTGGATTCACGTCGAGTCGCATCTTTGGTACATTTCTCTGGTCTTTGTTATTACCATGCTACTATGGTACACATTAACTAAAATCTCTCTCTCTCTCTCTCTCTCTCTCTCTCTCTCTCTCTCTAGAGACCAAATGGAAGACAGAGTCATGAGATGTCTAAAGAGGCATCTTGACCTAACTTGGCCAGCAAAGCTGATGATTAAGTCTCTTATCTTGGCCAACCAAGCTATTTAATATATATATATATATAATTATAGATATTATATTAATTTTTTTTCTATTTATACTATATTTCTTCATTGTATTAAAAAATAACAGGTTATGTTGGATTTAATGTTTGTATTATTGATAAAGTGATCCACTTTTACTGATATACACGTGATAATTTCAACCATGGCCTAATAGGATAAACAGTGCTCATTTCGACTAAAAACAAAAAATGTATAAACAGTGCTCGTGGTGATACGGCAATCGAAAATAGCTTTGTGGTAGGAAATTAGGATTTAAATCTTCGTGTAGTGTTTTGGCAAATGTAGTTTAAAAGTGATTTTTCCAATAAATATCCGTTAAATACAGGGTAAAAATATACTTTGACTGTGAACCTTCTCGTCGAGGAGTCGACCTTGAGATCTTACATGGAGAGCTCAGTTGCAACGCGTGCTTGGTTTTAAGAATTTGTCGCAAAACTTTCCTATAGACCGCGAGGAACTCTTCAAGAAGCTGGTTCACAACTGCAATTTATATAAGAAGTTAGAGAGTCAGCAGATAGACGAGGAAGAAGAATGTGCACACCTCAAGTATATTTTTATCTTTGTATTTGACGAACATTTAATGGAAAAATCATTTTTGAACTAAATTCGTTAATGGACTACCACGGGTTTAAATTCTAATTTATTTATTTTTTGTTCCACTCAACGACACGTGGTTCTATTAGAAATGTGAGAATTGTCATGCTCGGACCAATCCTAATAAAATTAGTCTCGCCAATTTATTCTTTTCATATATTATGCAAGTTTATTTTCGCTTTATAAACAAAAGACTTTTTTCTTTCAATTTTTAGAAATAAAATAAAATAAAATACAGGTTAAACGGTTAAAGGACGTTTGGGTAAATGGCAACTCTCCCAATTTCCTAGTTTTTCTTCCACTTTCGTTTTCTCCATCAGAGGTTCGAAACAACGATAAAAGCAAAGTTGGAGGTTTTTTATTTGTTTTTTTACGGAGAGGAGCTTACATTTTGCAGAGAAATGTTGAGGCTCCGCTGTATTTATATCTAACCAGACAATTTTCTTTTCGTTTTTTAAAAAAAAAAAAAAATTCAAAACTTTGATTCTTTTCGCTTTACCCTCTCTCTCTCTCTCCAAATTGTGGGGTTTTATCAGCTGAAGACCCGACTTCCAGACTTGCAGCTCGGATTTTTCCAGGTCTTCCTTCACATTTTCTGTCGTTTTCTCGCACTTTCTCGGATCCCTTTGCTTACGCAGTCAATGTAAGTCGATTTTTCTTGCGTATCTCTTCAATCTGTTCAAAACCCACAATTTTTTCCCTTCAATTTGAATTCTTTGTCAGGAATTATGAGGATTTCGTGCCCGGATGAATCGTCTAGGGCAAGGGCATGTCCCTCTGATAGCGTTTTTGTTTCTGTTCATAAATTGTGACCTTACGTGTGGATTGGATTGTTGGATTTTGGGAATGCCAATGATTTGAATTCGGTTCTGAGCTAGAAAGCTCGATTAGTCTTTACAGAAGTTTAGGGTCAAGGTTTTGTAGATATGATAAAAAATATATGGGGTAAAATACCCCGGAAACCCTCGAAATCATCGCAAAGCGATGCGTATAGTGACGGAGGGGCAAATGGGAATGGCCCAAATTCATCCCACAGCTCAAAATCGAGCTCTTCTTCGTCAAAATTTTCGAATTTGGGTTCGGGCAATTCTCGTTCGAGCAATGGGGTTCTTACCTCGCACTCCTCGGGCGGGGTTAAATCGAATCACTCAAAGAAATCAGCTCCCCTTGCAACTCAAGCAGGTCCTTTGTTGTCATCGGGTGCATACGAGGCTCTGCCGAGTTTCAAGGATGTTCCAAGTTCAGAAAGGCAGAATTATTTTTTTAAGAAGTTGAATATGTGTTGTGTGGTTTTTGATTTTAATGATCCCTCGAAGAATCTCAAGGAGAAGGACGTCAAGAGGCTAACTTTACTTGAACTTGTAGATTACATTTCATCAGTAACATCGAAGTTCAATGAGGTGGCAATGCAAGAGATTACAAAGATGGTGGCGACCAATCTGTTTCGTACATTTTCGTCTTCCAATCTTGATAACAAGGGTCCTGAAATTTATGACCAAGACGAGGAGGACCAAATGTTGGAACCAGCTTGGCCTCATCTGCAGATTGTGTATGAATGTCTATTAAGATTTGTGGCTTCTCCAGAGATCGATGCCAAGCTAGCTAAAAGATATATTGATCATTCATTTGTGTTGAAGTTGCTTGATTTGTTTAACTCTGAGGACCAAAGAGAGAGGGAATACCTAAAGACGATTCTCCATCGCATTTATGGGAAGTTCATGGTGCATCGACCGTTCATTAGGAAATCCATTAACAACATCTTCTTTTGGTTCATTTTTGAGACTGAGAAGCACAATGGGATTGCGGAATTGCTTGAAATCTTAGGCAGCATAATCAACGGTTTTGCTTTGCCTTTGAAGGAAGAGCACAAGCTGTTCCTTGTTCGTGCCTTGATTCCTCTTCACAAGCCCAAGTGTGTATCTATGTACCATCAGCAACTCTCATATTGCATTAGTCAGTTTGTGGAGAAAGATGCCAAGCTGGCGGATACAGTGATTCGAGGACTTTTGAAGTATTGGCCCATAACGAATAGTTCAAAGGAAGTTATGTTCCTTGGTGAATTGGAAGAGGTTCTGGAAGCTACCCAGCCATCAGAATTTCAGCGCTGCATGGTCCCCTTATTCCGTCAAATTGGTAACTGCCTAAACAGCTCACATTTTCAGGTACTTTTCAACAATATCTTTATCTTTTTTACTGTGCACTTATACTTCTGATGGCTGTCCATTTTCAATGTCTTTCTTCCAGCGTAACGTTTCTCAACATGATGAATTTTATAGATTCTTATACGGTTGCCTTTTGAACTGGTCACCCAGTTGGTTTTGTGAGATGTACTAGATATGTTAAAGCTTGAGGCTTTTGATTTTTTTTTTTTGGAGATTTTTGTCTTCAACAAATCTGTAAATTTCTGTGTCTTGCATTTCAAATCAAGTTTTGCATACTTATTCACGAAATTGCTTTGCATTTTTTATCTGCACCACTTGGTTGAGTGACAATTATAGAATTCCCGTTGTCAGAACTGTTGGGTTACTTCAGATTGTGGTTCAGGTTCATTGGAACTGGGGTGATGTGCTAGTTGTCAAAATTGGTTTAGACGAGTTGTCCAAGTTGCACCTAAGTATAATGGTGCATTAATGAACAACTTCATATTTGCTTTACAAAGTTGTGTAAGTTGAGATTTCCCTTGAGTTGGAGAGCAATATGGGACCTGAATGGCGGTGGAAGTTTAGAAATCATTTGAGTTGAGAACTTTAGGTGTCATTTGTTGGTAAGTTTTGCTGGCGCACAATAGGTTGATGGTGATAAGAATTTCTGCTGTTCATAGTAGTCCGTGGGAATTTCTGATTTAAGTACCTTTTCTTACGTAGATACAATGCACTTGGTTTTGGTATTTACTATTTAGGAAACTGGACAGCAAATGGTTTTGGTGTGCAAGATTTGGTGTATATGTATGGTTCATTACAATGATCTGAAATTTGGATTGTCACTTTAGTTTTACTTGATGTGAAGTTGTCTTAGCTTGCTTTCCACTGGCAGGTAGCTGAACGTGCATTGTTTTTGTGGAATAACGATCACATAAGAAATTTGGTCACACAGAATCGCCAAGTGATTCTGCCAATAATCTTCCCAGCCCTGGAGAAAAACACACGGAGTCATTGGAATCAAGCTGTTCAGAGTTTGACACTGAATGTGAAAAAGATATTCTCAGATGTTGATCAAGAACTCTTTGATGAGTGCTTGGTCGGCTTCCAAGAAGATGAATCCAAAGAGAAAGAAACACAGGAGAAACGTGAATCAACGTGGAAACGCTTAGAAGATGTGGCTGCCTCCAAGGCTTTGGGCAATGAGGCTGTGCTTGTCTCAGGATTTACTTCCTCCATTGATACTAACCCACAACCACGGGCTTCTTCAGGTAGTTGAGTTGAGACCCTCGCGACTCACAAATTCTGTTTTCCCTAATCAGTCATGGTCGGAGGAAAGCGAGTTGTACCCTCTACAGCCATGGAGGTGTGTGTAATATAAAGAATTTGTTATAGGGGTGAGTGATTATTACTTGTTAGATTGATGATCAAATTTGTTGTATAATGGTGAGAAAAGTTTACATTTTTCTGTTTCTGTTTCAACTTTCAACCAAAGCAATGTATTCCGTCTCTCGGAAATGTTTCCGTAGTCCAGTGCTTGATCAAATGTTTCCGGTGTGGCGGAGATTTGTGACCTTGATGCATGAGATAGGTATGTCAAAATCTTGTTTTAGCAGTCGCGAACTTGATGCAGAAAAAATGTTTGCGGTTCATGTGAAAATAGTATCAAATACGAACTTGAAGTGTACTAATCAAGTCCGAGGAGCGTACATATCATGTTGAAATACAAAATTCAACTCTACTAATCATCGCCGTAGGCTCGGAAACTGTAACGCTCTTGGTAAGGACCGTTGAACCAGAGGTCAGCCTCCAGCCACTTGGGATAACGAACAAGATCTCCGGCCACAAATTGCATGTACTGCTGGCTGCCTTCAGGCACGACTCTCACCTCTCCTTCCTCAATGTAAACCAGCTGGTCCACCTGCCAGTCCCACGGCAGCTTGCACTTGCCCGTCTTCCACATTGACCATCTCGAGACTCCAAGCTCAGCTAGTCTCTCCTGTGACACCTTTCTTTCCACTCTTACTTGGTACAGTTCCTCCAGAGGTTTCTCTACTCGCATTGCCTTCACTTTCATACCACGAGGTTGTGCATTAGCACCACTCCGCTCGCTCCAATCTCTGCCATTTCTGCTGACTGAGAGTGAGCTGAAAGTTGGGGCCATGATCACACTTGCCATGTCTAATTCTGCCTTGATTGCCTGCTAACAACGCGGCATTGCACAATTAATCAACAAAGGCAAACCAACAAGATGATATCTCGACCTAACGTAATCGCTCTGGATGGCCAAATCCCAAATCCCAAATGCAAAGAGAGTACAAGTAAGCAACATGCTGCTTCTTGGTGGTCTCAAAATCTCACATTTCCCCCAGAAATTCTACGTCGTCGACTACTTGCAGCAATCATTAACAGCTCCAAAACATTCTATTAGAAAGTGAGCATCCAACACAAAATCAATTGGCAACGTGACGAGGCGCTCGAATTTAAACTATTACGCAACGCTTTAACTCTCCGATGACGATTCACGCTCTCAACACGCACCACACAGAATGACAGAAACAGTTGAAGCATTCGAATTACAAAAAGAAAACAGATATTTGGACTAAAAATCCCTAAAACCCCTAATCCACATTTCAAACAAATTACACAACTTTGATTCTCAAGATTTGTTTTTTCTTCTTTTTTCTTCCAAATTAAGTGAAACCCAGTAAGCAAAAAACTCCATCCAATAGAACAAAACCCAGAAACAGCATAATTTGGAAAGTAAATTCAGATGAGAAAGTTATGGGATTTTACCTGTTGAGATGCAACCTTCAAATTCAGAGGAGAAGAGTGAGAGACTGAGCAGGAAGAGCTCCGAAAGTAAAACCCCAACCCCTCCCTCCAAGTCCAAGGTTTATCCAATACCCCAATTATTTACCACCGCTTACAAGGACTTTGATTCGGTCACTCACCCGTGACCAATTTTTCCTCACCCGCACCTACCTACAGATTTGACCGGGAACTGGCTAGTTCAGTTTCCTTTCCTTTTTCTTTTTCGAAAAATGAAAAAGGGAAGGAAGTTGGTTTGGTCGTTATTTGTGAACGTGTCGAGTCCTGGGACGGATACATTTCTGGGGCTTTAGACGACTTTAGATATGACATGCTTTTAGCGTCAGATGCGCAAGTGAGAGGAGTTGGTTTTGTACATGGTTTTCAGGAGTGATGGCGTTGCTTCAGCTTCAATCCGTCAATGGGTTGTTTCACAGCACAAAGGAGGGCCCACTACTTGCTCAGAGAAGAAGTGCAAGAGCTCGAAGATGCCTCTGCTTGCAGACTCAGGCCCCTCCCTCCAGAACTCAGGTACCCCTTGTATTTAAGTTCCAAATTTCGTTTCTTTGTTTTGCCTATGTTAGTTCAGGTACGGAACTGACGTCTGCTCTTTATTAAACGATAGACTGAATATGTCATCACTAATCTGTCGATATTATTGTCACGAACAAAATGTATTGACATGTTTTTGGTAAGGACACTGCTTGAATGAGTCATTCCTCGTTCCTGCAATTCACAGTTTGAAACATTGACAAGTAATTCATCAAAAACACGTAAAGAGAATTTTTTGCACGCGTATCAAATTGGAATTGGCAGAAATGTACATATTCCTATTTCATTGGGAAGGAGCAAAAAAATCTCCCTTGATAATATATATGCGCGTTTTGTTCTTTAATAAAGGGCGGACGTCCTGCACAGAGAATTTATGCACAGATTTTTCTCTTCTTGTTGTTTTGGAAGCTTGAATTGCATCATTGGATGGAAACTCAGTAAATGATTGTTTGAAGTTAATAATTTTTGGTGTAGAGGATAATGGAGAGTATATCAGTGAGTGGGGAAGTTGGTGGTGCTGGTGGTTCATATTCATACAGTGCCTTGAAGAGGCTGGACCAAGTTTGGTCTACTATTTGCTCTGCTCGAACAGGTGGAGTGCATGCTATTTCATCAGTTTTCTCGTATTGATTGTGATAAATGTATGCGAAATTGGTGAAATGTTGGTGATTTTGACATGTATCCTGTAGTTGTGGAAGAACCAAAGAAAGTGGTTTCGAGCATTCCTGGACTCTTTAGCAATTCTGATCTGGCTAACAAAGCGGTTGATACATTTGATGTGTTAATCTGTGGTGGAACTTTGGGAATCTTCATTGCTACAGCCTTGTGCGCCAAAGGTCTTCGAGTAGGGATTGTCGAAAGAAATGTACTAAAGGGGGTAAGAAATTGTTCTGTGAACTTTATTTTGGAATATAATGTACTGTATTATGAATTGTTTATGGATATTTTGGTGATCAATGATCAGAGGGAACAGGAATGGAATATCTCAAGGAAAGAGCTCATGGAACTTGTAGAAATCGGAGTTCTGTTAGAAGGTGACATTGAGCAAGTTACTGCGGCTAAATTCAACCCTGTAAGTTCTTTGACTACAATACATTTCTAACGGTTTGTAAGATCAACTAAATTTAAGAGGGGTTCATCCCTACCTAAACAGTGCTTATTTTATGAGTAGTATGCCGGAGGTTGTGTTGCACAATCAACTTTCATACCATGTAGTTTATTTATGTCAACTATTTCTTCACATTTGATCTACTGATCAGAACAGATGCGGCTTTGAGGGGAAGGGTGATATCTGGGTTGAAGATATTCTCAATCTAGGTGTTTCGTGAGTTGTCTCTTCTTCCTGTAAATTGCATTAGTTTTTTATAGCGATAGAATTATGAGCAATGACAGGAAAAGAATGATGGTTCTGCAACTCAAAACTTTACTCTGAATCGCCCTTTCTATAATCACAGGCCAGCGAAGCTTATAGAGGTTGTGAAGAATCGTTTTACTTCTCTAGGTGGAGTCATGTTTGAAGGCTACAGTGTGTCCGGCGTCAGCATTTATGAAGATGCAGCTGTGAGTTTCTAACAAATTCCATATAGTTCGTTCTAGTGCGTTAAATTTTACGAGTTGTATCTTACAAGAAAGGCCAACTATGGTTCTTACAGTGTGTCCGGTGTCAGCATTTATGCTTTATAGAAAGATGTTCCCTTGATAAGAAAGGCCAACTATGGTTCTTACAAACTATCTAAATTATGCTAGTAACCTGTTAAAACACAAAGGATTAGAATTGTCACGAAATATTGTACTATTATTTGAGAGGTTGAATGTATTTTGACAATTGCATAAGCACATAAGATATTTGAAGATTAATGAGCTAATGACTAGCATGAATTCCTCTTGCAATTTTCTCAACAGGTCCTACAACTCAATGAGGAAAAGATTTTGTCGTCTCGTCTCATAATTGATGCAATGGGGAATTTCTCTCCAATTGTAAAACAGGTCGGTTTTCTATGTTTCTGCATAATTGGAGTACGAGTGCATTTTTTAAATAAGCAACTAATCCTTAGAGTTTGAAGATTGTAAAAGTATAAACACATAACTGCTTCGCTGTTAGCTAATTTATAAAAAGAATGATGACCTAATCACAATTTCTTGATCCTCATGTATCAATGTACCAACAGTTTTTATTCTTGTGTCTATTTGATGTCAAACTTAGGTAACAGATTTTAATGCATACCGACAATCCGGGCTAAAATTGAGTCTCGTTGATGGCTTAATTGGCAGATAAGATCCGGAAGGAAGCCAGATGGAGTTTGCGTCGTTGTTGGATCCTGTGCTCGTGGATTTACGAATAACTCTACCAGTGATGTTATATATAGCAGTTCATTGGCAAGGAAGGTCGGGAGCTCAGAAGCCCAACTCTTTTGGGAGGTAACTTGATTTTGTGGTTGCTAGCTTGTAATGTCAAGAGGAGATGTTTTGCTTATCAGAATCAAGCCTTTCTAAACATTTCACAGGCATTTCCAGCTGGTTCAGGTCCTACAGATCGCACAACTTATATGTTCACTTATCTTGCTCCTCAACCCCAATCGCCAAAGATAGAGGAACTGTTAGAAGAATATTGGAAATTGATGCCAGAGTATCAGGTTAGTTCGTCCTCGTGTCTCTTATCCAAGATCTTGAGCATTGCACTTCCGATAATTGCTCGCATCTCTAAACATTCATAGGGCATCACATGGAACTTATATGTTCAAAGAACTAAACATCCCTAGTGTTATTCGGTTCTAATCCAGCCTCTCGAGCTTAGAGAACCCTCCAGATGAGGCCATATGCAATTCCATTCTAGACATTAAAATGGCGTTCCAGTTCAGATGCTATTTCATTTCACCTTATAGCTCAAGTTTTAACCACTCACAAATAATCTGTAGGAAGTCTCTCTTGATGACTTGGAGATACAGAGGGTGCTATATGGTATTTTTCCTACATATCGTGACAGGTAAATTGTAATAATGCAAACTATTGCTTGAACTGCAACGAGATTTTGTTCACATTCCAAAGATGCGAAATATTCTCATACCTTTCTTAAGTTGGAATACACTCGATTAATTTTTGTATCTGACACCTTTCAATTCTTAACTGGGGACCACGAACTTGACAGCCCGCTGCCAGCAGCTTTTAATCGGGTTTTACAGGTGGTAACTTATATCCTCTTACAAAACCACCTATAGATTATGGTAGAATACCAAAAGGGGAAAGTGTGACAAAATGATTCTCTGCAGTTTGGTGATGCTAGCGGAATACAATCACCTGTTTCATTTGGTGGTTTTGGAAGCTTGACTAGGCACCTCAACAGGTTGTCAAACGGTATGCACTTACATGGGAGCTTTGTTTATTTTATGTCCGAAAAATGATAACCTGTGCAAATTTTAGTACGAGGATTAAACTTAATAGGATCCATCTTTCTTCATTGGTGAAAAGGAATATATGAAGCAATGAGCGACAATCTTCTTGACTCGTACAACTTGTCGCTTCTGAACCCTTACATGGTTGGTGTCTTTGATGATCCCTGGCAAAGCAGTAACCCTGGATTTTTCTTTCTTCTCACGATTATCTGATTTTGATTCAAAATATCTATTTAGTGCAGCCCAACTTAAGTTCTTCATGGTTGTTTCAAAGAGCAATGTCTGCAAAGAAAGAGTCTAATGTTCCGCCAGATTTCATCAATGAGCTCCTTTACACCAATTTTCAAAGCATGCAGGTAGGACTGTCCATATGGAACACAGTTGAGTAAGTTTTTTTTCTGTTATTAAATTTTCTTTGCTCGCTTTCTTCAGAGGCTCGGGGATCCAGTCCTAAGACCATTTCTTCAGGTAATTTTCTTTCCTTATGATTTATTCATTTGATTTGAAATGGGAATCAAGTTGGCTGAACTTGATGTAGTGTGAGAGTATAACTATGGAAGCGTGTATTGCGACAGGATGTTGTACAATTTGGACCTCTTGCCAAGACATTAGGCCTAGTCATGTTAACTAAACCTCAAATCATTCCATCAATCTTCAAGCAGGTAATCAATGAGTTAAGAACTCCTGTTTTTCGTTTTTGATGTGATAATGCGTAAACCAAATTCCTCTATACAACCCGGTAAGCAGTCTCAGTTATCAGGTAGAATTCCTCGTTGTGTTTCAGGTTGGAATTCCTGTGCTTCTTGACTGGTCTGGACATTTTTTCATGCTGGGGTACTACACGTTTCTCTCAACTTTTGCTGACCCTGTAGTAAGGTAAATAATTTTCTATGGTCATGGTAAATATGTAAGCAGAATGTATATCTCACTGTCACTTGTTGCATATTTCACAAGGTCTTTTTTAAGTACACTTCCCACCCAGGCGAAGTACGAGTGGAAGCGACGTCTTGAGGCTTGGAAATATGGCGCAGGTTTAGATTACAAGTCATGAGGAACGGGAATCAGTGAGCAGCTGCATTTGGACGAGTACCTGGTTTCTTCAGTTCGGAGGGCCGGCCGCGATAAGGGGGGACGGATTCCTGCCAAAAATCTGTAATATATTCGGCCGGAAACAACAACCGGGCGTGGAACAAAGAAGACTGAAAATTAAAAGAAAAAACCTTAGGGGTAATGGACACATTATTCACACTGACTGTAATGTACTCAATCATGTGTTGAATAATTCCTGTATTCATATCAAATAAGAGTATTTAACCGGCATCACTGTGAATTTTGAGAGACTCGTATGATCATAAGAGAGAGGGAGAGAGAGGAAGTAGGAGAGAGCTGGTTTTTATTTTTATTTTTACTTAATTTCTTTATTTATTGCTTGAAGTCTTTTAATACTATTGCTTTTTTCTTATATTTTATTCCCCTCCTCCTCCTTTCCTTCTTCCGCTCAAAAACGACGTCATACTGGACTCAAATAATTGTGATCAGTAACTTAGGACATGACATATCTTTATTTTTCTTAGATCAGAAGAGTGTTATAACATGAGAATTTTAGGCCTTCCTGATCTATAATTCTTGCTCCGTCACTCGTTTATTGGTGTGGGTTACTAGCTATCTCACGGTATAGAAAATTTGCAATACGTTCTTTAGGCTTACGAAAATTATGGACCTTAATTGTGGATAAGTTGAATTATATAGGTATTTATATAAGATCAATTTCATATTGTTAAAACTTGAACGTCGAAACAAGAAGATGGTCAAGTGTAGCGGCTACTTTGAATAAACTATAAAGGAATGTTTTTTTCTATCCCCATCCCCATCCCCATCCCCATCCCCATCCATTGACAAGACCATTACAGCATTCTTCTTCTTGCACAGCAAGCAGATAAACAAATATCTCCTCTTTCAGTCTTTCTTGCTTGAGGAAAGAAGATTCTGTCTTTTGCATTATTACCGTAAGTAATTAAAAAAGTAGAAAAAAATTCCCCACACAATCGTCATTGTTTCAAGAAAATTAATGATTGTTATCTACTTAGAATCTTAAATATTATCGAGAAATCAAGTTGTTGAAACGTATATTGGATAGCTAGCTCAAGTGGTTAAGAGTGTATTTACATACGCACTCAACAAGATCTTGTGTTCGAATTTTCCCTCCCCCGATCTCTAGGGTTTTGTTTACTCACATGTTCTAAGTCGCTCAACAAGGTCTGCGAAGGCATGCCTTCTTTCACATGCACACATATATACATACATACATACATACATACATACATGTATATATAAATCCAGTATAGGGTTACTGAGGTTTTACATATCAATTCCCAAATCCACAAGCCTAATAGTTGGTGGTGGGACGACAAGCATTTGATGGATTATTCTTTTGACTTGAAATCCATCATGTTAGGCTAATTTTTTCAACTACGTAATAATTTGCTCAACTAAAAAATTAGTGCAAATTTTACACGCGCACATACAACAGATTCATATATATACACAGTAGCACATAAAGGCTCTGGTAGGGATGCCTTATGCATAGCCAGTTGGCGGTGCACTTACACACCGTGGACCACACCCACCTCCCACAGGCAGCCTCACCTTAGCTATTCTTCCATCTGCATTTAATCAAGTCCAAAGAGTCCAGCAAATTTCTATATTCATGGTTTAGAAGATAATTAAATTCCGGAAATTTTCAAAACTAGCCCAAATTTGAACATGTTTAAGACTAAAAGTTATAACCTAGTTTTCGGCTAGAGGCTCGAGCATTGATCAAGGGGTCTCGAGAGAGCTCGAGCATCGGTGTCAATTTTATGTTAAATATAAATTAAGAAAATATACTTCTACATTCATGGTTAGGACATAGTTAAATTAGGAAAATTTTGAACATGTTGAACACTTTTAACCTAGTTCAGCGGTTTTCAGGGAGGTTCGAGCACTGACTGAGGGGTCTCAAGAGGGCTCGAGCATTGGTGTCAAATATATTTTGAAGATCGAAAACATTAGACATTCAAATCGGATTTCAGATTTGAGATTTCAAAAGTAATACTATGACAAGTTGGCAAGGCTATAAATAGATAACCCTCAACTGCATTTGGTGCACCTGAGTTCTGTAGGGTTTGTGGACCCTGAACAGTCAACATATATTCCATGAGATCTGCACAAGGAGGGGGTAAGTAAGGGATATCCTCTTCTTAATTGTATGGTAGTTGCATGGAGTAATGGGTATTTACACTCTGCATTCAAATTTGGGTTCTAAAGCTCAGAAACAGCCAGCAATACAGCAGGCACACTCAATTAGATACCATTCCCAGTTTATTATGTGTACCTTATTACTCGTCACCATCTGATCATCACTTAATACTGTGAGAGTGATGAGCAACTAAGCCTCATTCAGAAAACTCAACCAACTAGTTCTCATGGACTCAGAGATACTAGCAGATAAGCATACACTTTGTGTGTGTGAACAATTTCATTTTATTTTGTGTTTTTTTTATTAAGGAGTGTGATTAGTTTTTAAAATTTAAAAAGAGTATGCAATAATGATGATGAGACAGTTTCTCAATTTTTAAAATTTTTAAAAGAGTATAAAATAATAATGATGGGATAATTTCTCTTAATAAATGCATATTTTTTCTTAATATTACATAATTAATGTTTTGTCTTGGGAGCAGCCTCTCCATAAATGGGGGTAAGGCTAGCCGACATTCACCTCTCCCAGACCCTGCGTAAAGCGGGAGCCTTGTGCACTGGGTACGACCTACGACGACATAATTAATGTTTTGTCTTCCTTATATAAATATTGTGTATTAAAAGTGAGGGTAAAATAGGAAAAATAGGGATATGATTGTCATTTTCTCAAAAGATACAAAATTACTGTTTTGCCTTCTCATGTCAATATTGTGTATCAAAAATGAGGACAAACTAGGAAAAAAAGGGGCAAAATTTTGACAAGGAGGGTTCTTTTAATAGAATAGATATGATGATAAAGCTCCATTCTGTCATATCATCTTGTATTTTGTGCATATGCTCAATATGCAACCGTGATCATGGCATATATATATACATACATAAATATATACATACATATATATTGATTTTCACACTCTAATTTTCTCTTATTGTATTCGTATCATTTTGTTGTCTTAAATTCTTTGATTTATTAAGCACAAACACTAGAAAAATAAGTAGTAGAATGACAGAAGAGTGCAAATCACTATATATCACTACAATAATATGCTTGCTTTATGTATGAAGCCTTATTTCTGTTGTGGTGCAATTACCAAGAAAAATCCAGAAGATTAAATAAGATGGAAATTTGAATAGTTTATATTTAGATGGGTGTGCGAGTCACTGCAGTAGTCTGCAGTTTCAAAGATGAAAGAAACTGTGAAACCAAATACTTCTCATGCATCAGATTTTGGCAGGCCAAAGCATATGCATGCATCCAATTTAAGTTCCCAAAATGCAAATATGAAATTATATATGCATGCAGTAGTTATCTGATTCTCAGGTAAAGTTTAAACAAGCCAAAAGAAAATTAATTAATTAATTTAAGCAAATACAATCTGAAAGAAAAGAAAAGAAAAAATAACAGTCAAACAAGACTATATGAATCACTCTTACATGGGTTTTCTTAAAGCTCTTCACAATCACCTTCTGTACAATATCTCTACAAATGGGACATCGAAATTCAAGGCCTACTTATATGATTATCATTTGGCATATAGAAATATCCAGCTATATATATGTTAAAGCTAACTACTAATTAACTACAGCATACAAAATAATTTATCATGAAGCATATCTTCTGTAAATATAATTTAAGTAAACAAGCTAGCTAGATAAATATGTGTGTTTATCTGGAAATGGGAGTTCTTCAAAAACTTGAAAGATCATCGCTTGTTGTGTAAAGGGTTTGATCCTGTCGGAACCCTTCGCTCCTCGGACACGAAATCTCTGGCTTGATCTCTGGTAGAGGGAGCACTAGTCATTGATGGCCTGAAAACTTGTTGGCTTCTTGCCGAAGACGGGCTCGGAAAGCTTCTCCGAATTGCATGAGTTCTCGGAGCAAAGAGGAGGATCAGCAGAGCAAAAAGGAGGCAGATTTGAAATCGATTCATGCTGTGAAATTTGAAGAAGAATGTGTGAGAGTGATGATCACAGGCATGGTGAAATGGCTAGGTGGTCAATTTATATTTATATATATATGGACTTCGTTGGCCCATTTTTTCTTGTTTGTGCTTGATGTGTTTTTATGCAAAAATTTACAACATGAAATATGGGGTGGATTTTTTTTCTCCACGAAAATTGTGGAGCGAAGAAGGTGAATGAACGGCCAGATGTGAACTCAAGAGCGTCAAGCATTCATAGACAGACTCATACATGTTACTACAACCGTCCATTTGGTGATGATCATCTAGTGATTATTGACAATTATGGGATCAAGTGAGGGCTACAATGACGGTTGGGGAGCGGTGGTGGGGTCACAATTTAATTAGATAGTGACACATAGCAAAAGAGACCTACCTAGCTACACAAACTTGTATGTGAAAATCTTGGAGGGGAAGGGAGGCTCGCTGCTGCGACTCTGAAGTTTCAGCTCTTGGAAGGACTAAAATGCCTACAGCTGATATCACATTGACTTCAACAAATTTGCCAATATAATACTTGAAATGTAGATGGGCACTAAGCAAGTTAGGGGCTTTAAGGTCACTAAAAAGTCAAAGGTCTAATGCCGACACTTTTGATTAGTCTACATAAAAATAAGACGCGCATGTCTTAATACCGTAACTCTCTATACATGATTTATTTATTTTATTTTATTTCAAAAAATCTAAACAATACGAAGAAAATTTATTAATATAAAGAAAAAAGTACAGCTAGTGAGGGGAACAAAAACATTACTCCTTATAAAGCCAAAAAAAAAAATTACAAGAAAATAGGGAGACATACACTTTACCCCTCTTAAAAAAAGAAAATACAAAAAAAAGAGGGTGGACATAGGACCAAACCTCTCTAAAATAAAACTTAAAAATGTAAGAACATGTAAGACAAGCTGCAAAACAAAAAAGGAAAATCCAAAAAATTGGGTGAGAAGAAAACCACACATCAAGCATGGGTGACAAACATGTAAGTTGGCATGCCCAAGAAATTTGATTGCATAAAATGATGAATCTTTATAGGAGGAGTAGCATGTCAAACAAATGAAGACGAGAGAAGCCCTAAATTGGCTAATTTATCAACAATTGCATTCCTTTTTCGAAATATATAAGAGC